ATCCTTGTCTAGTTCCTGTTCTCAAGAGGAATGGTTTCCAATCTTTCATTTTTAAAATAAAACGATCTAGGCATTCATGTGAACTCTCCTGATTTTCAAATACTGGCACCTAATTCAAACTTTTAAAAAAGGCAGTCAAAAACTAAACCAACCTATCTGTGAGCCAGATTCAGCCCATTGGCCACCAGTTTGCAACCTCTGCCTTTGTTTGTGTGGTTGGCTTAGACCAATGAAGCTGTTTTGGACTCTATCACAATCCCCAAAAAGCAGAATCTAACAGACCCAGCTTGGATCATATGCCCAGTCGTATTCCGATCCTTTCTGTTCAGGACAGGGTACTGTAATGCAATGAGACTATCTGGATTCATGCTGGATAACACATTCAACTCCCTGACACTGAACTACTTTCTGCCCCTATTTAATCAGTTCCTGACGCAGAACATGATTCACATCAATCATATGAGCTTTTCTGAGATTAATACCCCAAAATCAAGACATCCAGAAATAAAAGGCATTGAGAGGTACTATAAACAGATAACATATATACCATATATTTATATATTTGAATATATATTTGTTGTGTATTTTGATATACTCATGTATTAATTCATTTATATTTAACATATTTTTTAATTTAACCTGTTATCTCAAATTTAATGGTAATGTGTGAAAAATAATTCCTTACAGAATCTTAAATAAGCATGAATTAAGAAGCTTAATATTGTTTATATACATCAGGTTGTACTTAAGTTTGTCCCCTCGATATGGTTCACAAAATATTATTATCTACTTGTTCAAATGCTCCTAATTATTTCTTATGGGTAAACCATTTTCTTCCGAAGCCTAAAGAAGTATAAGTGTACCCTGAATCTATGGCTTTGTATATATATTGTTCATATACGTCAAGTTACAATTAACTTGAGAAAAAATCCAAGATACATGATCTAAGATTTTAAAGTACCTTTAAAGAGATGGTGCTAGAGTCTATTTGTGCTATTTACCAAACGTTATTGTTGTTGTTAGGAGCCATTCAGTCATCTTCGACTCATAGCGACCCTATGCACAGTAGAATGAAACACTTCCTGGTCCTGCCCCAACTCCACAGTCCTTGCTATACTTAAGCCCATTGCTGCAGCCACTGTGTCAATCCATCTCATTGAGGGCCTTCCCCCTCTTTTGTCAACCCTTCACC